ACCGTACAACCTGCTACAATATATGTCACCGTACAGCCTTCTACAATATAAGTCACCGTACAACCTGCTACAATATATGTCACCGTACAGCCTTCTACAATACATGTCACCGTACAGCCTTCTACAATATATGTCACCGTACAGCCTTCTACAATATATGTGACTGTACAACCTTCTACAATATATGTCATCGTACAGCCTTCTACAATATATGTCACCGTACAGCCTTCTACAATATATGTCACCGTACAACCTTCTACAATATATGTCACCTTACAACCTTCTACAATATATGTCATCGTACAGCCTTCTACAATATAAGTCATCGTACAGCCTTCTACAATATATGTCACCGTACAGCCTTCTACAATATATGTCACCGTACAGCCTTCTACAATATATGTCACCGTACAGCCTTCTACAATATAAGTCACCGTACAGCCTTCTACAATATATGTCACCGTACAACCTTCTACAATATAAGTCATCGTTCAGCCTTCTACAATAACCAAAGTCGATATGTTATATGTCATCGTACAACCTTCTTCAATATATGTCACCGTACAGCCTTCTACAATACATGTCACCGTACAGCATTCTACAATATATGTCACCGTACAGCCTTCTACAATATATGTCACTTTACAATCTTCTACAATATATGTCACCGTACAACCTTCTACAATATATGTCACCGTACAACCTTCTACAATATATGTCACCGTACAACCTTCTACAATATATGTCACCGTACAACCTTCTACAATATATGTCACCGTACAGCCTTCTACAATATATGTCACCGTATAAGTCATCGTACAACCTTCGACAATACATGTCACCGTACAGCCTTCTACAATATATGTCACCGTACAGCCTTCTACAATATATGTCACCGTACAGCCTTCTACAATATATGTCACCGTACAGCCTTCTACAATATATGTCACCGTACAATCTTCTACAATATATGTCACCGTACAGCCTTCTACAATACATGTCACCGTACAACCTTCTACAATATATGTCACCGTACAACCTTCTACAATATCTTTCTACAATATATGTCACCGTACAGACTTCTACAATATATGTCACCGTACAGCCTTCTACAATACATGTCACCGTACATCTTTCTACAATGTATGTCACCGTACAGCCTTCTACAATATATGTCACCGTACAGCCTTCTACAATATATGTCACCGTACAACCTTCTACAACATATGTCACCGTACAGCCTTCTACAATATATGTCACCGTACAGCCTTCTACAACATATGTCACCGTACAGCCTTCTACAACATATGTCACCGTACAGCCTTCTACAATATATGTCACCGTACAGCCTTCTACTATATATGTCACCGTACAGCCTTCTACAATATATGTCACCGTACAGCCTTCTACAATATATGTCACCGTACAGCCTTCTACAACATATGTCACCGTACAGCCTTCACCGTACAGCCTTCTACTATATATGTCACCGTACAGCCTTCTACAACATATGTCACCGTACAGCCTTCTACAATATATGTCACCGTACAGCCTTCTACAATATATGTCACCGTACAACCTTCTACAATATATGTCACCGTACAGCCTTCTACAATATATGTCACCGTACAGCCTTCTACAATATATGTCACCGTACAGCCTTCTACAATATATGTCACCGTACAGCCTTCTACAAGATATGTCACCGTACAGCCTTCTACAACATATGTCACCGTACAGCCTTCTACAACATATGTCACTGTACAGCCTTCTACAACATATGTCACTGTACAGCCTTCTACAATATATGTCACCGTACAGCCTTCTACAATATATGTCACCGTACAGCCTTCTACAATATATGTCACCGTACAGCCTTCTACAATATATGTCACCGTACAACCTTCTACAATATAAGTCATCGTACAACCTTCTACAATATATGTCACCGTACAGCCTTCTACAATATATGTCACCGTACAGCCTTCTACAATATATGTCACCGTACAGCCTTCTACAAGATATGTCACCGTACAGCCTTCTACAACATATGTCACCGTACAGCCTTCTACAACATATGTCACCGTACAGCCTTCTACAATATATGTCACCGTACAACCTTCTACAATATATGTCACCGTACAGCCTTCTACAATATATGTCACCGTACAGCCTTCTACAATATATGTCACCGTACAACCTTCTACAATATATGTCACCGTACAGCCTTCTACAATATATGTCACCGTACAGCCTTCTACAATATATGTCACCGTACAACCTTCTACAATACATGTCACCGTACAGCCTTCTACAATATATGTCACCGTACAGCCTTCTACAATATATGTCACCGTACAACCTTCTACAATATATGTCATCGTACAGCCTTCTACAATATATGTCACCGTACAACCTTCTACAATATATGTCACCGTACAGCCTTCTACAATATATGTCACCGTACAACCTTCTACAATATATGTCACCGTACAACCTTCTACAATATATGTCATCGTACAGCCTTCTACAATATATGTCACCGTACAGCCTTCTACAATATATGTCACCGTACAGCCTTCTACAATATATGTCACCGTACAACCTTCTACAATATATGTCACCGTACAACCTTCTACAATATAAGTCATCGTACAGCCTTCTACAATATATGTCATCGTACAACCTTCTACAATATATGTCATCGTACAGCCTTCTACAATATATGTCATCGTACAGCCTTCTACAATATATGTCACCGTACAACCTTCTACAATATATGTCACCGTACAGCCTTCTACAATATATGTCACCGTACAACCTTCTACAATATATGTCACCGTACAACCTTCTACAATATAAGTCATCGTACAGCCTTCTACAATATATGTCATCGTACAACCTTCTACAATATATGTCATCGTACAGCCTTCTACAATATATGTCACCGTACAGCCTTCTACAATATATGTCACCGTACAACCTTCTACAATATATGTCACCGTACAGCCTTCTACAATATATGTCACTGTACAGCCTTCTACAATATATGTCACTGTACAGCCTTCTACAATATATGTCATCGTACAGCCTTCTACAACATATGTCACCGTACAGCCTTCTACAATATATGTCACCGTACAGTCTTCTACAATATATGTCACCGTACAGCCTTCTACAATAACCAGTCAATATACTCAGTCTATAAACACACCTTTTATACTTTCATAATACATTTTTACAGTTATACAAAAATCTATACTATTAATATTTTCAATATTGTAAGTAAATATGCAACTCAACAACCAGTAATACTCCGTTATTAATTTGGCTTATCAAAGGTTTTGATTCGAAAGTCCTTGATAATTCTTATCATAACGAAATGCGAGTCCGGCGTAATAAATCATAAACCTTATATCTTTGTTGACTTCATAAAAATCTTTATGCTTCTACCGATTTTAAAATAAATATAAAACACATTAGACAATCATACAAGCGAATATGATTAATGTATTTATAAGTTTTTTACATGTAAAAAGTAATGTCATGTCACAGCTGTTTTCTTGCTGACAGTCTGTCAGAATAATGAATAGTGCTTTACCTTTAAGGTTTACACATACATATCCAAGACTTTAACAATGTCGACAAGATGATATCGAATCGATATCGATAATAATGTTTATTCATTCATGGACATACTAGATGTTGATATCGACTATGACGGCTCGGTTATCGATGATTATCTTAAACAGTTATGCCATATCACGTTGTCGATAGCTGTAGCTGTAAACTGATATAGAGGACAAATCATGACCGATATTTTAACGTCGATATTGACACGTAAAGCAACTGAAAAGAGTATACTACTTTGGAAAAAGTTACGAGGAAAATTCAAATGTTGATATCGATTCGATATCGTCAATATTGAGTCAACATCGTCAAAAACGTGTCGATATAGTCAGTATCGATAATTGTTGCAGATCAAAATCTAGTGTAAACTAATTTAAAGAATAAATCATGACAGATATTTTAAACGTTGATATCAACACATGTAGCAAATGAATAGAGTATACCAGTTTAGAGACAAATTCCGGTTGGAAAATTAAAAATGGCGTTATCGAGTTGATATCGTTAATTTCGAAAATTGAAGTAGATGAATACAGAATAAACTAATTCAGAAAAACGAATCGTTTACTTAACATTAAAAGTCTATATCGATATGTGGAATGTACGATTCAGTGACGATATTAACGGTATTGGCGTTATTGAATCGAATCGATATGGAAATCCAGCGTATTCCTATCGTAGCTCTCTACCATTGACTGTTGCAAACGACAACTGTTCGGGATAAGAATTGTAATTTCAGTTTTCGAAAGATACCAAAACGAAAATGAAAGTATTAAAAAAGTTATTGTAAATCGTTTTTTGCCGAAATATGAAAGTGGCCATTATGACAAAAAGTCGTTCCTAACAAAACTGATAGTAACGTTGTTATAACGATTTTGAATTTAAAAAGTCACCGTCATGAAAACATTCATTACTAATTCTGTGTTTTAATATTCATTATTTTTTTTATATCGAGCTTCACTATCCTAATAAAATTTGAGAAAAGATTGTTTTTGTCATGAATATGATAGAAATTGAGATGGTGGTATACTTGAATAAGACAACACACCAACAAAACAAATAATCAAAGGAATTTAGAGGACAACATAGTCTACAATCATAGACAGGAGTCGAGTCGAGTTTTTATCATTGAAGATGATTTTTCATCCAATTTTGTTAAAGACAACAATAGGTATATTATCTTCAAGATTTCTATGTAAGGCCGCTTTATATCCAAAATAAAGCTTTTGTATCAGGCAGTTTAATTTGATGTCATTTTAATTTTGTACTTAACCTTTAAATTACGTTTAATAATGTAAAGCTTGTTGAAGTAAAATATTGCTAGTGACAATTCGCAAGCAGTATTTATAACATATTAATATTTCTTTTTAAAGGATTTTGCCATTAAGATGTGGTTGAATGGAGGGACACCTAAACAAAAACTCATACTGGGTATGGCATTTTATGGAAGGTCTTATAGATTACGTAACACGGCAGAGACAGGACTAGGTGCTCCTACCATGGGACAGGGTACAGCAGGAAGATACACAAAAGAAAATGGATTCTTATCATATTATGAGGTATTCTTAAAACAAGATTAAGTCATTAATATGGAAGAATTGTTTTGAAATTTTAAACTTATGTTTCTAATGATGAAATCTTATTTTGTCCCTAGTTTCTCATATCAAAACATTTTGAGAATAGCAATACTAAGATTATGGACGTAGATAACATGTTTACTTAATGGAAAACTTCGACTACCTTTTTACTTTTGAATGACTTTTTAGATAACGATATTATTTTTGTTTTACTTTATATTAATGATCAATACTGTTAACAATAATCAAAATTCTTATTGTGACAGATATGTTCTAACATAAGAAATAAGAGCTGGACGGAAGGTTGGTTGGATGATCAACAAGTTCCATATGCCTACCATGGTGACCAATGGGTTGGTTACGATAATGCTAGAAGTATTGAGATAAAGGTAAGGCTATTTGGACAAATTAGACGTAAAATTGTGGAGTATCAGGTAACTCATAATCCATATACAAAGAACTTTTTTGTCATACAAACTAACAGAATTTATTCATGAAAATTGCGCATGCGCTTAGATACATGATATTGAGTATTGGCATTGTTTGCATTACATTTCTGTTTAATAACTAATCCTTAATTGCATGATGAACCTTGTATAGAGTAGAATATATCGTCCCTCATCTTTTTATCGATGCTAAAAAACGATAAACAGCAACAAATGGCAATCACTGAATTACAGGCTCTTGACGTGTAACAGGCACATGTATACTGATTGTGGCGGGGTTAAACATTTTAGCGGGCGCCTAACTATCATTCATGGTTGTAGATTTACTACCAAAGTAATGTGACACCGGATGTAAAAATTGACCATGTCACATCTTGACCTCCTGATTGCAAATGACCAAGTTCCCCATTAAAAGATATGCCGGCTAGTCACGGTTTAATCATTAAAAACCTCTCGTCCTCAAAGAAAAAGCACATGAACCCGACATTACTTTGTGTCGCTAAAGACTATTCTCATCCGTTTGTCATTTTTACCCGACATTGTTGTATTATTGTCTTTGATAGCAGATGAATATTCGAATAATTTCATAATCATATAGTAATGAAACGTATACCGTAACAAACATACCTGTAATGACGTTTTGAAATATCTTTACTTTACAGACAAAATACATAATAGACAATGGTTTAGGCGGAGGTATGACATGGGCATTAGATCTTGACGATTTCCATGGATTATGTGGGCAAGGCAAAAACCCTTTAATGATGACTATGAAGAATGTTTTTAATGGTGCTCCTATTCCAACGTTTGGAACAACGAATGCTCCAGGACCTGGACCAACGAATGCTCCAGGAAAAGGATCGATATCTACAGGTACCTCACGTTTAACTTCTAACAGTGTTAGCAATAATAATGCTCCAAAAAGAGGAAACCAGGCTACATTCACCGATTCTACAACACCAAGATCTGAAGTTATAGGCCCTATTGTGTCAGGTAAAATGAAAATTTAAAGAACGTTACAATTACATTTAAATCAAAGTAAGAAGAATAAAAATAACTATATTGCAAGGATAATCTAGTGTCAATTATTTGCACTTATTATCTCCATAGCAACTTTGTAAATAATTGCCAGAATACAATACAAGAATTCAACACAAAACACTGAAAACGGCATATTTCCATTTCGCCCTAACTGTAAGGTAAAAGTTTTGAAAAGTAATAAGGCATGATTGCATTTGTTCTAAGGCGAAATGGGAACTCATTTGAAAATATTAATTAAACAAAGTTATGAAATAAACAACAATCGTTAATTGCCGAGTATATCTTTTATGAAATATAGAGAAAATGATATAATTAATTGTCGAAATTGACGATAAAGTTTTTTATTGGAGGTTATATGGATTATTTTAACATCAAAATTTGGCTCACTTAGTTTGTTAGGTGATTCTGGAAAAAGGGATAAAAATAGGAATCTCATTGAAATTATACATACAGTTACGAATTTCATTCCAGAAATTAGCAGCAAGTGGTAAATAAATATTGATATTATTTACAAACTAACATTTAAGTTACCCAATTATTGTAAACTTGATTCGGAACAAAATTGCAGCCATGCTGAATATTTTGGTATTTGATCTATCAGTACCAAATATGGCAAAAAAGCAAGTGTTGAATGAGGGAAAAGGATATATATATATATATACAGAATGGTGATGCAGTATCTATGGAAGATAGTGCTTTGCATACATGTTTGTTTCATGTCTGTAATGATTGTATATGTTTTGAATTGTCTAGTTCGCAGCCACTTCACAGCAGACCCAATTTTCGTTCAATTTCGGTATTCGAAAATATTGTGTTAAGATTTTTTTAAAGATGTGGCGTTCACTGGAAAACAACCTTGAGAAAACAGCTCTCAAACTTTCCCCCTGAACATGTGATAATAAAATTATCGGAATATTAAAACATTTTTTCACAATGCGTTTTGGGTAGAAATATGCCTTAAGAGCAGAAATCAAATTTTCTCTTTCTCCGAGTCTCCTCCAACTGAAAAAAAATTTTCATTTATGATAATTTGAAGAAGCAAACTATTTTGTTCATTATCAACTTCTCATCAATTGATGTCTCCAAGTAAACGTTTGAGTGTTTAACGTCGTACACAGCAACTCAATGCTTTTGGTAGGGTGGGAAATTGTGTTTAAAGTTTGAAAGGTAAAGACAGTTTTGGCAATAGTTTTTCTTTATGTATTTTTGTATATTTCTTTCAGATTATATTTTGATTACTGTAATCTTCTTGAAAATGTATTTTCTGTTTCGTAAATCTATAGTACTACTACAGGTGTTGTTACTCCAGTGAATGAATTAGTGATTTCCCTTATTTAGACTGGAGTTAAATGCTGAGTTAAATTTGTATAGATATATGTGTTATGTGTATACTGCATTTAGCACAAAATGAGGAGCGCATGACATTTGGGCTTAATCATAAGTGTGGCAATGATATATTTTTTTAGATACAAAAACTTGGAGTTTTGTTTATATTTCTGTTAATTAAATTCTTTCTAACAACCAAACTTACAAACTTAACTTTTCCGAACCAACATTTTTATATCTTGAATTTGGTGTTTTATACCTGCACGTTTAAAGTTTTTAAAAAAAGTATATAAAACAAGAACGTGTTATAAACAGAATGTAATTTATTAAATATCGAATATTCTAATATGACGTGCTTAATTCTTTCGCTTTGTAAATAACAGCGTGATAAAATTCTCGATATATCTATACCTAGCGCAGACTCAGAGATGTGCATATTGATGGCTAGCTGTTACTATTTACCGCCCACGTAAATCCACATGTATCGTAACCAACTTCCGAAGCAAGGTTGTCGGCTCTCCGGACTTTCCCGAAGTCCTACGTTTAACACCCTTGCTTGGAAGTTGGTATCGTAACCTGTTTGCAAACACTATGTTGATTTCTTTCAATCAAATTGAAATTGAAAAAGAAACTACAGAACCGTTATTCCTATTATAATGCATAACAAAAAGAAGTAATGCTCAAGAGCTTAAAAAATGTATAAAATCAAAATAAAATAAAATCCCGCGAAATTTCATGAATGATCTTGGTGCATTAACGTCATGTCATAATATGACGTCATACGAATGAAAACTCTCAAGCTGAAGGTTTTCCGTTACGTATACGCCCTAAGTTCGGATAATATCAAAATATTAAAATGGAGTTTTAAGGTAGGTGTTGTTTCAATTCTATTCTATTCTATTGCGTTATTCGCACATTTGTGGATTTCAGGAAGTCAACATGGCGGCTCTCTCCTTAGTTACGACTTTTCAAATAGTAGCCAACGAAAACAAATGTTTGGGTTAAGAATTATACGGATTGAACACATTTTTGTTATTGGTTATTTAAGAAATAATTCATGCAAGACTTACATTTATTTGAAATTTGTAGCTTTTATCTTACAGGGGGTAAATTAGAACAGCCATACCCACGGCAATCTTACCTTCGATCCAGTTTTTAAATTGCCGTATTTGTCCTATTAGAATCGAAATAATTCATGGAAGCAATAGATTTGTTGGACATATACACATTGCCTGGGCCGTGATATTCGTTAATTGTATCCCTCGCTAACGCTCGGGAAAAAATTCGAATATCACGGCCCAGGCCATGTGTAAATGTCCAACAAATGTATGGCTTCCATGAATTATTTCTTAATTAATAATTTATAATGAAAATGTAGATATTTTACTTGTAGTTAACCTGTACATGTATACTTTAATATTTTGGCCAAATGTCGACCCAACAAATGTTCTTTTACACCCAAATGTCGACCCAACATATGTTCTTTTACACCCAAATGTCGACCCAACATATGTTCTTTTACACCCAAATGTCGACCCAACATATGTTCTTTTACACCCAAATGTCGACCCAACATATGTTCTTTTACACCCAAATGTTAAATCAATTAGCCTAAGCGTGCATCTCTCAAAATGTGCTTCATTATTTTGCATAGTTTTATGTTACATCTTCACCATTTTTGTAATTTTTGTAGGATTACAAGGCGATTGTTCAAATAATGACGGATCAACAGTAGGAGCTGTTCTTGGACTTTTACTGGCCATAGCTTTAATTATCATTATAGTTTTAGTGTTATATATCCTTAAAATCAAAGGTTATGAAATAAACCCATGGTATATAATACGCGCTAATAAATCACCAGAAAAGAAGAAATCAGATTTTTCAAGCATTTCGCCATCAAGCATTCAAACAGTTAATATGCATATAGAGAATGCAGGATTTAAAAAAGATGTAGGACCAGTGTATGTTAATCGGCCCGAACAACCGAATTTTCTTCCCAGTGTTAACCATGGGCATGGAAATGTTAGTCGTTTCGATGCTTTTAACAAACCTCCGCCAAATACACCTCCGCCAAGATTTCCACCACCTCACTCGAATCCGGTGAATCATAGTGCTTCATCACCTGACGTTCTTCTACAACATAACATAAGACAAATTAGTGCTATCGATGGATCCGAGGACTTCCAAAGACAACATATTACTTTACATGAAAACCCTTCATTAGAAAGTGAAGATTACGGCTTTGATCAAAGGACAAATAACCGCAGTAACTTCCATGCGGTTGAATCGCCGAATTATAACGCAGTCATATCACAGTCAGGAAAGCTAGGTACCTCCACCAATGTTTAGTGACAGTATACACACCAAATCAATAACACATTAATGTATAACACTGTGACTGGTACTATATTTATAATTATGTTGTCTATTTTTTTTATTGTAATTCAAACCGAAAATTTCTCCAAACACTGATCAGACTATCTCTTGATGTCGACCTAATACACTGACAAACCGCAGAATTGTTATGATTTAGATTATACATTTCATATGTAAATGCTAAGTGCATAATACCATGTAATGTTGCTTTAACTAATGTTGTAATGTTTACGTCAGTTCGATTTCGGTTGTAAACTCGCACACCTTCTATTATACTTATTCTAATTATCTATTTTAATATTTTTGTTGTTACTTTTCGAAATGCATTTCTAATGTAAATGTACCTTATGAAGGTTATTTCATGAAAATATTGTGCGCAGTGAAATATTGCCCTACATCTAATACTGTGTTATCGTTTTGCATATTTTTAAATTAATTTAATTAATTGGTTTTTTTAGCTTTGTATTATTGTTTTTTACGTTTCATCGATGTTAACACCTTTATCATTTAACATATGTACATTATACAAAGAAGTCTATCTGATGTGTGCTTTACAAAAGGAGAAGCATTCGTTCACAATAAATTTATGGCTAAAAAAATGATTGTAATCCCCTAGAAAATTCTGAAATAAATAATCAACTAACCCGTGGATTTTTACAATAAAGTACTAAAACTATTTGCTGAACACATTTGTGAACACCTTCCTTTACAGAAATGGTTTTCAACATCTGAGATAATGATAATAGACATTTCCGTATAAAGTTTACTGGTTGTTTTCTTTAGACTTTCATATATAAGAATTGTTTTAAAAGTCGTAACAAATATTGAAATGTTTCCAGAATGATATTAGATATTTTCCTAATTGTTACATTATATTAAAGTTATGTTTATTAGTTCTACTTGTTACATATCAAACTATTGCATTAAATATTTTCCATAAAACAGTTAATTAACATAAATCGCCTTACGCGCTCTAATCATGATAATAACAAAAACTGCGGGAATCACATGAACCTTAAAGGGAGCGAGAATAGACGTCTCTTCTATGCATGTTCAGACTTAGTAAAAATGTCTCTATTGGGAATAGGTCACAATCGGTTAAATTACATACGACTATACTGGTATCTTTAAATCTAAAACTGCGAAAACATGTCGCTAGTGAGTAAAGATACCGACACATCGTGATTGTAAACATAAAACCAATTACAGACGTTCTTCCTCATTACTATGTTGGAACAGTATTTGTGCTAGGAGCACACCCATATTAATGCAGTCCGTTTAGTGTGAATATAAACGAGCGTATCGTTTTAACTCGTATATTTAAACTCCATACGACAGAGCAGAGCGTATGTCACCACTGAGAAATGGGAAGTTGATAATTGGAAAGTTGAAATTGTCACGTTTGTCATATATTCTGGTTAGGTTTGAAGTCATCAATCTGTGTCAATATCGATGAAAATGTTAATATATGAAGCAGACATTCTACTGCCGGTTGTATCCTTAATTTCAATTTCATTGGGATATATGAAATGTAAGCATTGAGTGACAGAACATCATCAATTTATCGGAAAGTGAAATTAAAGAACTTGGCAAGATGTTTTTTTTTTCTATTTGTGTTTGAGAAGGTTCTGTATGAATTCTACTTCATATGAGTACAAAAACAAGTCGGCCTGTAGAGGTGCACAGTTAGTACCCATTGGAATACCGAAATATATGCTGGAATACATGTATCAATCCACCAAACTGCATAAATATGTAGTTGATAAAAAAGTGTTTATCTTCCGTGTATTTGTAGTTGGAATCAGTGTGGTGCTTCACAAAGTAAGATTTTTTATGACCTAAAAGATGGTATTCATATCTACATTTTCCATTGTCAACGTCATTTTTCACGAAATTCAGCATATAACACGCATCAGTCTGTACCTATCATTTCCTATACCTATACCAAACCAATTACAACTAAAATTTTCAATTACAAACACGTGTTGCATGATCTCAATATTGACGACTTCAAGTCTAAACCTCTTGAGTGCACCTGTGCTAGTTTCCAATTCATATATAATCCGGCTGGCCACGTTATTACCGGTGACCTAAACATTGTCAATAACAGTTCTCTGCAAAATGTGTTATCCAAAGGCCCGAAATATCGTGAGCCTAAATCCATCAATTGGAAAGACAACTTTAAAATACTGATGGATTCAGTCGAGGATAATACCAGGCGATGGGTTAAACGCGAAAAAGAAGACGTAGATACTCTCTCCGAATGGATTAAGTCTGTGAGGTCGTTGATACAAATCAGAGTTAAGAAACTGAATAGGTCTATTAATACCCATGCTAAATCAATCTTTAAAGACCCAAATGTTGCAAAACACTTGTCCTACCTCCATGACAAATATGTTGTTGTCCCTGCAGATAAAGCCCCATACAACATCGTTTTTGTGTGTAAATCACATTACATAAACTGCTTGATAAATGAATTAGGTATTGACTATTCATTTGGAAAATCAACATATACCTACGACACTTACTAAAGAGGAAATCCCGGATAATCATAGGTCTGTTCTATGTTCCTTTGGAATTTCAACCAAAGATGAAGAACTGGATCTTCCATCACTGTATTGGATACCTAAACTACATAAGTATCCTTACAAACAACGGTATATTGCTGGGTCTTCCAAGTGCTCCAAGAAACCTCTTTCTAAATATTAACATAAATTTTATCAGCAATCAAAACCGGATTTCAAAGTTATTGTGAAACTACCTATTCTAGAGGTGGCGTGAATCAGATGTGGATACTAAAAAAATCCAAAGATCTCTTAGAGTACAAACAATCTAAGACTCTATCGTCTTGCAATAGTATTAAAACATTTGACTTTTCTACACTCTACACAAGTATTCCCCATTCCAAACTAAAGACAAATTGAAAGAGTTGGTCCTGCTTTGTTTCTTGAAAAAGAATGGCCAACGCAGATACAAGTATCTTGTCTTAAGTAGGGATAAATCCTACTTTGTTAAAAATCACTCTGAAACTGACATTATCAAGATGCTTAATTTCTTGATTGACTACATAATTGTTACGTTTAGAGGACGTGTTTTTCAACAAACAATCGGCATTCCCATGGGAACAAACTGTGCCCCTCTCCTTGCCGTTTTGTTCCTTTATTTATATGAGGCTGAATTCATACAAGAACTTATAAGGAAGAAAGAAAAGAAGTTAGCAGTATCCTTTAACTTTACTTTCCGCTATATAGATAATGTTCTCTCACTAAATAATTCAAAATTTGATGACTATGTTAAACGCATATATATCATCGAACTTGAGATAAAGGATACAACAGATACATTTAAGTCTGCCTTATATCTTGACCTACATCTAGATTATGACAATGAGGGTCGGTTAAAAACAAAACTTTACGACGAAAGAGATGATTTCAGCTTCCCAATTATGAACTTTCCATTTCTATGTAGCAACATTTCAGCAGCGCCTTCATACAGACTATATATCTCCCAGTTGATACGATATTCCAAGAGGGGGCTTGTATTACTATTACGATTTCCTTGATAGAGGGTTGCTGCTTACAAGGAAGCTATCAAACCAAGAGTTTCAAGTGGAGAAGTTGAAATCATCCCTTCGTAAGTTTTACGGACGCCATCACCGTGGTCAATAGGGAGATAATCAAACGTTACCGTGGTCAATAGGGAGATAATCAAACGTCACCGTGGTCAATAGGGAGATAATCAAACGTCACCGTGGTCAATAGGGAGATAATCAAACGTCACCGTGGTCAATAGGGAGATAATCAAACGTCACCGTGGTGAATAGGGAGATAATCAAACGTCACCGTGGTGAATAGGGAGATAATCAAACGTCACCGTGGTCAATAGGGAGATAATCAAACGTCACCGTGGTCAATAGGGAGATAACCAAACGTAGCACAAAACAAACAATTATCATAAAAACAAATGACACACAGTATCGATAACGTTATTCTTAAGAATGTATAAACTCACCTTTAGTATTATATTAAACCACGTAAAGCTTCTATAGAATAATTTAAAGAAAAAAGAAAATTTATACAGAACGAAAACAATAAAAAAAAATACAGCACATGTGTATTTCTAAAGTCTGTAACCTCGTCAGTATTTGTCGTATATCATATACTTTTATTTACGGGTGCCACATTTGGCGCAGGACCTGCTTACCCTTTTAAAGCATCTGAGATCGTCCCCGTATTTTTGGCGGGGTTCGTGTTGCACAGTCTTAAGTTTTCTCTGTCGTGGTTTGTATACTGTTGTTTGTCTTTTCCCTTTCTCTTATTTTTTTGCCAAGGCATTTTTAAAATCATTTTTCGACTTGATGATAGAAATAAGAAGATGTGGTATGAGTGCCAATGAGACAACTCTCCATCCAAGTCAAAATGTGTAAAAAGTAAACAATTTTGGTCAAAGTACGGCCTTCAACACGGAGCCTTGGCTCAAACCGAACAGCAAGCTATAAAAGGCCCGAAAATAACTAGCGTAAAACAATTCAAACGGTCTAATCTATATAAAAAACGAGAATCACTTAAGAACCACATCAACAAACGACAACCACTGAACAATAGGTTCCTGACTTAGGACAGGTGCAAACAAATGTACGGGTTTAAACGTTTTAACAGGCGCCAACCTTCACCCTAACCTGAAATAGTAGTGTTACATTACAACATAGAAAGACACACTATAAATTATCAATTGAAATGGCTTAACTCAATCAAAAAGACATATTAAAAAAAAAACAAGCAAACATACACTGAACGAATAAATTCGATCTATGACACAATATAAATACAATATTAAATAAAAAAGGGGGGATGTAAAACAATGTCAAAAAGACAACCATAACCTTGAACAAAGTGGCGTTAAATAAAATAACGTACACAGGTAAATTGAGATATAATAATTTCGTTGTTAGGAGTACGGAAATATTTTTTACAAAATAAATAAATTATTTTTTTGTTCATAGTACGAGAACCGAAGTGAAAATTTATCATCATTCTAAATACAAAGGTGGTACATATTAAAAATAATGAGACAAGATATAACACAAAAGAGGTAAACATTCAATAACAAAAATGCATTACAAATTGTGTCAACAGGTCAAATTTATTTCCATTTTGAATGTCCGTTTCATATCTTTCGCCTCTCTTTTTTCATACCGTAAATTTTATCGGAAATTTTTTTACGTGTGTCCAATTTTCGCTATTTGACAGTAGCAATTTTACCCAGCCTACGTGAACATTTCACTATTCATTTAAATTCATTGTATAAAACGATTATGCGCGAATAATGAACAATAAGACGAATTATCTCTTGAATCTTATGCCTAAACTGCCAGCAATTCGGACGTGAAAATAACTCAATGTGCCGTATCTTGATATTTCCTACGTGAACATTTCACTATTCATTTAAATTCATTGTATAAAACGATTATGCACGAATAATGAACAATAAGACGAATTATCTCTTGAATCTTATGCCTAAACTGCCAGCAATTCGGACGTGAAAATAACTCAATGTGCCGTATCTTGATATTTCCTACGTGAACATTTCACTATTCATTTAAATTCATTGTATAAAACGATTATGCGCGAATAATGAACAATAAGACGAATTATCTCTTGAATCTTATGCCTAAACTGCCAGCAATTCGGACGTGAAAATAACTCAATGTGCCGTATCTTGATATTTCCTACGTGAACATTTCACTATTCATTTAAATTCATTGTATAAAACGATTATGCGCGAATAATGAACAATAAGACGAATTATCTCTTGAATCTTATGCCTAAACTGCCAGCAATTCGGACGTGAAAATAACTCAATGTGCCGTATCTTGATATTTCCTACGTGAACATTTCACTATTCATTTAAATTCATTGTATAAAACGATTATGCGCGAATAA